GGCCCCGCCTTAACGTGAGTTCTACGGTGTTTAGGGTCCCCTTATCGGGTTGATTAAATATGCCATGTATTGTGTAAATAGCAAAATTTATGTATTGGAATATCCCTATTTTATAAAGAAATTAAACTTCGACATTGGCGCATAGAATTTAGGGAGAGTCTGCATTCCAAGTCATATAAACATTTATTTTATTAAAAATCAAAATTGAATATTTCATTTTTGCGGGAGGACATGAATGTACTTGTAGCCTGTCTCCGCAATATTAGCTCATTAAACAACTTATTTAGGGTTATCCCTTCTTAAAGGGATGACTTAAAAATGAAATAAAATTCTTTTGAATCTGTGATGACTTTACTCCTGAAACTAGAATGCCGTCCATGGGAAAGTCGGGTTGTCGCCATATCGCAAATCGACCAGAAGAAGAAAATGTTAGATTCAAAGGTGGGTAAAGAAGCTGAAAATTATACAATCAATTCAATCTTTTTACTTACCTACATTTAAATATACAATGTACCGATATTTTGATCAATATTTATTTAAAGCCTCACGGCATGTATGTACTTTAGCATCACAATTCATTAAGAGTTAAGTATAGAGTGTATTAATATACACAAGGAGCAAACCAAAGGCGGATGGCGAAGACGACATGGGATATGATGTATAGCGACGACTATTGAAACATATTTGGCGTATGCTTTGGCCACGATATCAGGGTTTGTTTAAGGAGGCTCTATACATTGCACACTAAAGAGTTCTACTACCGTTGGTTTTTTTTTTTTTTTTTTTTTTTTTTTTTTTTTTACACATTTAGAATGATCTGCCCTTATATCTAAAATCAAATGAAGTGAAATCTGCAATATATTACTCAATTTATAATAAATTCAAGTATTTTTAACATTTTATTCGATCTACGGAATGCTTGATTTTGATGTAATTTCTCCTCTTTTCTGTTCATCAATACTTTGTTGTCTTGAAACGTATTTCCTGAGGCTAAAAGCTGGTACACTATGTTTGAAAATGAAGATTAACTTAAATTTTGACGTCTTTATACGATATAATTTTCTCAATATCCAAAAAAAATTTATTCTTTTGAGAATAGAGGGTCGAGAATCCTAGATATGAAACAATAACATGTTTTTCCTATTATTACAAAAATAATATTAGTACTATGTATCTGTAAACTTTGAAGTTTGTACCCGCGCCTTTTGTGTATCGTTTTGAAAACGGCAACATTCCATTGATTAAACTCTCCAAATCAAGGTCTCTCAAAACAGTTTCTGTTTAAAGTACATTTACAAAAGAATTCTGATTTCATCGTAAGTAGGAAATGGCCAATACAAAAACCTAATCCAATTATCAAATTGTATGTGATTTTAGCGAATGGGTCTTAAAAAGTATTTCACAATTAGCAATATTTATTCAATTTGAATTTGAAAAAAAAATGCAAATCTATCGGTATTCTTTAAAATCGATTCTTCTTCTATTTTTAATAGTAATGTATGTTTCTCGAGGTCACCTGATTTTACCGCCTTGTAAATAATTTTCCTTTTAATGAATTTTCCGGCCAGTGACGCTTGATGGTCATCAATTTCAGCGAATTGGCCAAAACATTTTTTGTCATTTGTCAGGGTGTTGTCTAAAAAACAGATTCAACCAAGAGCGCATATCTGCAGGCAGAATGTCAAAATCCGGACGCGTTTTCTCTTGATGTACGAGAACAGCATTCAAAAGCCACCGTACCTGGGCAATTTTCTTAGGTGATTAGGCATCTATAGACAGACAAAGGAAAAGGTGTCTGGACTAAGCCCTTTATACGGATTTACAAGAATTAGGGACGAAAAACATGTTTTCCAGGACAATTAACAGTGGTCATTTCGCCCTCGCCCGTGTTGATATATGTAACCTGCGTACTTCATAAATATTTGTTCTTTAAAGTTACTGTCAAACACTTGTAGTCTGGAGAATGCTGTTGAAGACAGACGGTACATAAAGAATTAAAAGTGTGTATTGCTGAGCGTTAATTAAGGGACTTAATCTGGAATTCCATACATCAAAAGCACCTCTTCTTGTATCAAGAGATCAATCTACATACTTATACTTAAGCTCTTCCCGAATTAAAATAAAAAAGAAAGAAAAAGAAATCAAAATTGGCGATCATATCAATTTTTCTTTAGACACCATTATCGTAATAAAACCAGTGCAAGTCCATCATGTGATTAAAGGTGTTGCATTATTATAAGGAGATTATATGCTTTTATTCGATTGATATACCCAGCTCTCCTCCTATGTTTTAGAGAACATGTATTTAAATATTCTCCCCTAAAGAGAAATGACGATCAAATGGTCAATACAACATATAAACATGTTCCAATTACTAAGGTTGTCATATAAAGAAAAAAGGACAATAAGATTTTTGTATGATATTTGAGAAATGATCATTGGAACACAAAACCAGTGGTGTCCGACAGTGTAATGTCCAGAATTAGACATTATTATTGGACATAATTACAGCAAGCAAGATAACCGGAAGCTGATGATGTGTCGGGTACCAGTTTTACCCGATGCCAGGCCATCTAAAGACTTGAATATTTTTTTTTCTCACAAAGCATTTTAAAGAAATCAAAAATAAATGGAATCATTTGTATTTAAAAGCTGTAATATGAATTTAAGATATGTTATATTCAATAAACAGTTCTTCTGTATATCTGCTAAAAAAGTATATACATGTACGTTACAAAGGCTCCTTGTTAATCGGCTTTAGAAAGCAAAAAATAGGGCATAAAATGAGCATTGGAGATAAATTGACAACAGATTGTGCAAGAATAACATTCACACATTATGCATACAACCGACAATGAATGAAAGAGCTTGGTGATTGTGTAAGAAACTTGGTTGTTAATTTCACCCTGAGTTGAGTAGGTTCCCTCACAATACCTGAATGGATCTCGCTTTACCCCCTGCATATCATTTTCAAAATGAGCATTGTTGTTATTAACTTATGTATAGTGAGACCCACCCCTGAGCAGGTTTGCCGACTACTTGTATTACGTATTTAATGATGATATTCTGCCAAAATATTCAATAAAAAAGGAATGAGGTCTTCCCATTTTTCCATGTCTTGCGAGGCATTTCTATTCAGGAAGGGTCGACTAGGGTTACACAAAATCAAATTTCAAACGAAAGTATGACAGTTAAAGTTCAAATTAGGCTTTTTCTCATCCTTAGATATATGTACACAATATGAAAGACCTGTCGAAATTTGAACGAACTTGCCAAGATGGCGACAAGATAAGGATGTTGCCTTTGCATAATTTACGAAATTGAATGTCGTAACGGACCAGAATTTTTTCTTAAATCATAAGTATTTATAGAGTTACATAGATTTTCTTTTGCCTATACTATAGGCCCCGAGCAACTGTTTCAATGCGTTCCGGAAATAGTATCGTTTCATCAAGAAATCGCACTTGCTGGTTCCGGAGTAGCCACATTTTCTTTGAACATGAAAATAATCTTAAAGACACAGCAGATCCTTTACTTTTGTTTGTTTTTCCGTTGATGATAAATTGCTGATATGGAGTATAAAATTTTAAGAACGTTAGACGTAAAGTCGTAGCACGCGTTCCTAAACAATGTAATAACTTGAGGATTTAATGATAGAGTGTTCGATTGGCAACTCTTCATTACCCCTTCACCAATCCATCAAGACACTTCACATCAAAGAAACTAACTAAACAGCCCTATTGTATTGAAAACAAGGATAACTTTCTTCCATTTTGTCAGAATTTGCTAGTTATCTATAATAACTTCATATGTAACAACTGACTCAGATTTCAAATCCCAAGGCAAATGATAACTGGTAATTGCAAAATAAACATACATTGTTGTCCGAGCCTGACCGATCAGGGCCGAGTGACCTTGTTCTTGCTAATATAAAATCAGTCATAGTTCCCCCTCCCCAAGATATTTGTTGCCTTCTCTATGAATTGACTTTTGTTTTTTGTTTTATCTTTTTCTGCAGTTTACTGTCTTTTTTCATGGATTTTGAGACTTTTATTGAGAACACTTCAAGTTAAGTTTAATGTTACAGACGGCGTAACAGACAACAACTAAAAAATCTTTCTTCAAGGAGAAACGACATCAAATTTATCTTCTTTTTTATAAACTTTGAAATAAAAAACCAAAAGAATTGTTGAAGCTTTCTAACATAAAAACAAATGTAGGACAAATCAATTAAATTACACGATGTTAACTTTATAGATATATTGCCGAAAGGTAAAACAAAGTGCAAAGAAGACAATAATGAATTCATGTGGGCATGGATAAATATGCATTGGAATAAAACTGTTCAAATCATTTTTAAACTCCGAGCTATGTAATATATTAAGTTTATTTTACCTGTGGAATACACCTGAGACAATGTTAAAAGTATATACAATATATAAACAAAACCCTTCAAAGCCTTCACGATGCGCTGTGATTTCCATAACTTGTTCCCTATGAGGCAGAGATGAATTTTAATGAACATTAAGTTTGCCACTGTATACAACTGAAAACCTGTAACTTCTTATTCATAAGTAGAGCAGATTGCGTTTAAATAGGTAATATTAACGTGTTCTGCGTGAACCTTCTATACGTATCACTCTCTAATAAATGGTAAACTGAACAAAATTAAAAAATAACATTCCGACGTTTTATATCACTTTGTCACTATCTCTACCTCTCTTGGTGATATTTTACTAACTCCCACCATTAGTTTCTTCCAAATCCCCTAGGAGATCGGGGCAGGTGACTAATGTAAGTGTCTTCAACAAATATACGGTATGATTGTTATAATATGTGCCCCCCCCCAAAAAAAACCCCCCAGATATTCTTACGAGTGAATGGTGTTACATTGGATATGGCAAATCCATGCATACTTTCTCTTTTACAAAATTTAACTTAATATACATTTTGTTATTTTTATTTTAAGAATTCGAACAAGTTTCCTATCGGCTGATTACCTGTGTAGTTTTGTCCAGGTTTGAATTTAGCATCTTTTTGGGATTCCAGTTCCAAAAAAGAAATTTGAAATCCATTATCCCCCTTGGACTTTTCAGCTGTCGTATGTATTGGATTGCGTTCACAAATAGTAAGATCCGCCTCACATACTATCAGACACACGGACAACGTAATCACAATAACGCTAATCCGCCACATTATTAAGAGTAATTTGAAACGAAATCATCTATAAATAAAAGAGTAACGTGTGTCAACTCACGCTGCAGAAAATCCATTTGACCATGATATGATCTTTTTTTTTTTTTAAATATATCTCATATATATTTCTCTTCCACTGTAGCAGAAATCAAAATATCCACCAGTGTAATCACATTTTTATGGGGATATCAAAATTAGTACAAAAAGCACATGTATACACCCCTCGTCAAATAGCAAACATATACACCTTGTGTGGAAAATCACAAAACGTATTCTGTCTCTCTCTCCTTATTACGCCCATCTATTGGATAAAATTTCCTTAGCTCCGCCCACCGATCAGTTTTCTTGTATTTTTTGAGATATCGTAGCTTTCTTAAACAGTAAGTTTTTTTCTTTACGCAAGTATGTTAAAGCGCAACAAAATGTTTAACTGATGAAAGATTAGGTGAAACAGATTAATCAATTGAGAACGTGTCGAAAGTAGAATTAAGCACCCCTTACATAAGACTTAAGAGAAGATTAGGAATATTGGACCCTTTTCTGTGTATTCTTATGCTTTCTTGGTACTACAATAGTGCGATCATTGTGTGAAAATGAAACTGTATTAAGTAATGCTTGGTATTTCTGACCACTTGAGTCAAATAATGGGCGAAAAATGTGGCGTGATTAGCGAAACAAGAACGAGCCATAAATCACGTCTCTAGACCCATGTTTTAATTATTTATCATTGCATAAATTTTTCAATAAGATATTTATGTTTCCGGTCCATATTCAAGGTGTTTCTTTGTCCGCGAGTTGAAATAAATCACCGAATGGACACTGATGTCGTGTTATTTAGAAGCGCCGACAACAGTTAAAACAACAAATGTTGCTGTGTCCCGAAACCAATGTAACAGGTGAAAAAAGTGCCGCTAAGCGCAAGAAATCAAAATACAAGTCTTTAAAAGAAAATATTATTCAAAGAGGATTGTTTGGTTAGAAGGCGAGATTTGCATTAATACATTTACATGAGTGTTGAAAAAGAAGAGCACTACATGCAATTGATTGAATAAATCCTGTCCCCAATATTGATATAGGAAGGTCGAATTGATACCCGTTAAAATCCTCTAAAATCACAAGTATTTAAAATCTAAGCTTATTAAAACGATTCTTAAATGTCTTTAAAGGCCTCCCTCTGTGTTAAAATAAATTGTTGATATTCCCAAGAGGTTAATGGTAGTTTTCTCTAGTTTTTAAAATAGAAGTCATAAAAAAGTTAAAAATATACACTTGAGGTTATCAAAATAACTGGACAAAGGCTAGGAGCAGCTGGAGTTCGATTCATGCACTTTCCATTATCAAAATAGACTTTTATATTTTCTTTTGAAATCCGTATCATGAATTGTTTCCGCCGAGCGTATTTTTTAAAAAGTTGCAAAATATCTGTTTTGTGTATTGTACTTTTGTGAAATTATCCAGAAACAAGCATCAAAGAAAAACGAAAACACATGCTTATATATCTTTTTTATAAAAAAAAAATACTCATAAGTGCTTTTACAATTCAGATTATGTAAATTTTCTTTACTTATCGGCAAACAAAGGTGAACTTGTTTCTCTCAGTAGTCGAGATTTCCCCAGTGATAGCGGAAATGGTGGGAGAGCAACAAAAATGTTAAGCGGTTAATTCACACCATATTGTCGTTCATTTCGTTTGCTCGAGGGACAGAATTCGGTAAAAATGAAGTCCAGTTATACCTGTTTAGTCATAAAATACCCCCAGAAATTTATGAGGCATACCTGTACAAACGATGATAATATAGTATAAACGCAATTCTGCTTTTAACATCTGTAAGCCTAGGGGTGGCGCCGAGTATAACGAGTCGGAGACCAAGGGGATAATCCTGCATATTATACTCGGTAATAGATATTGCTTTAAATGGTACCCACCGGAGATAATATATACTATTATGGTGTATACTGCAGCGATCAAAGCCTGCAAATGTGGTAGAAGACAGCGCTAGGGGTTGAAGGTAGCGAACCAACGGATAAGGGGGTCGTATCTTATGGCTCTCTAAAATGTCGAGTGAATAACAGAAAACTCATTTGATCTCCAAAGAAATATTAACAAATAGATTGATTTAGAATCATGACAACAAAATGATGTCTACTGTCTATCATCAAGTAATTAGTACCTGAGACGGCGATGAGTAGAAAGAACTTCGGGGTACATGTACCTTAAATGAGCAGAGACAATACCGTCTCTGCTTAAGCGAGTGGTGATTACTTCAAAGGTAGATAACCCACAAAGCACAACTGGAGATAACTCTGCCTAGAATTACACGTACAAAAATGATATTTTTGTCCATAAACTATAGAAATATTTTAACGATTAAACTGAAATGATCTAAAACATTACAATTAAATAAACATAAGTCAATCTTAATTCATGTATGTTAGTGAGGATTGTCCTTAGTTTGGGTCAAAAATTAGGTTTACATTTGTCCTCGGCTAGGCATGGGAATGCTCTTTTCCGGACAATTAAACATATTAGTAGATTCATTCATTTCTGAATATTAGGATAAGTATTTTTTCTGTTCTTGGTCAGGAACATTTACCACAATTCTCTGCGCAATCGCTTTGTTTCCCTAGTGAGAAAAACTGGTTTGATGGAATCTTGGTTTTTAAATATTTTAGTTTAAATTAAGGCAGATAATATGCGATTTAGATGAAATGTTCGATAAGAGTGGATATAATGACATCAACTTAGCTTAAAGAAAGGAACTTTATTAAAAACGGGCTTCTATGGAGTCAGTGGATTGCGATGATCTTCTGAGTTTAACGCGTTTGATTTTTACAACATAAAAGATTTAAATTCGTGTTTTTGTGCCGGTAATTGTACGGAATTATATTATTTTTTTAGATAAAGGGCCAATTACAAAATTTGTTATAGGTTTAAGACAGAACTTTTCACATCTGTTAATTTTCAAATTTATGCATGGGTGTTAAAATGCTCAAGAATTTAGCGAGATATATAATTATAGCTTAAGCATGCCCGTGAACTCTCCGAAAATATCAATGGGTGCAAAGTTTTACTCTATACGAAAACACGGTATACACAGTGAGTGCTACGGAGTTAATCCCACTTTCATCTATTTCACAAAGTAATTCATTATACAATATAATTGTAATTATACGATAAGAAATATTGTATAATTACAATAAAACAGTTTACTTAACTCCCAGAGTAAATGAGTATTTACTTAACAGAGCACTCAGACGTATACATGTATATTTGATGACCCAGGCCTGTAGAACGCCGTTGGGGGGGGGGGGGGGGAGGCACTTTTTCCTGAGTATAGAATTATGCTATAGTGAATTTTCATTTAGATGCTGGTTACCCCCCCCCCCATCCCCCCCCACACACACACATCTTTTGTTGTTGTGAGGTTTTTTTTTCTTTTTGTTTGTCAGATTATTTTGGGAGGTTGCCCCCCCCCTTTGAAATCGTTGCTACGGTTGTGACCTAATTATCAAAGTGGTTTTACTCGGGGAGGGGGTTCGTTTTGTATGCAATAATGAAAATTCTATTATGAGCTTTTACCACAATTTAAATTATTGACAAATAAAAAAATATTTTTAAACAATGGATAATCAAATGTTATATTGTTCATTTAATTCAAACGGTTCCCATCAAGTGCGTATGCCTGCAAAAGACATTCATTTTCCGGTGTAAGCGTTCACAGTATATTCTCATTTTTCGCTTCACTCTTTCATGAACCATTACTAAAGCTTATGTTCCTCGTTTGATTGAGTATATATATCGTTCTGAAGTTCATGCAACGAAAAAATAGCAATTACGGTAGTAAAATATACACATCTGTTGATACGCATCGGCGCTTGTTTTCTTTCACGTAATTGTTTGGACTTGAGATCCTGCAGTTAGCAGAAGAATAGAAGGTGTTCGAAGTTCAAAACATGCAAAATCAATTAACACTGAACGATAAAGGCCACGCTGGATTATATTTTTGTAACACTTCCAATCAAATATATATACGACTTACTATAATAAAAGAACCATTTGAAAGTATTAAAAAGTAGAACGGAAGACAAAAAAGTTGAGGAAACGATTGGGGTTAATTGAAAATGACAATTTTTGAAGAGAAGAATAGAAAATTTTGCTCATCTACGGCACAGAAAGATATTTATAGAAGCAGTCATTCATAGAAGAAGTATCTGTTGTTCAAAGATAGAAACAATTCAAAATGTTAATATCAACTTTCTCACGAAACAGGTTATATTTCTTTGAAATAAAATAAAATTTTAACAACAAAATCTATTGAAAGTAAGCAACAATGATTTTGTATCATTTCTGGCGCTTTTTTGGGTCATAGTTTCCCCCATGGTTGTAATTTCTTTTAAAGGTAAATTTCTATCGCTTACCTTTCATATATCACTGACCTTGAGCCCATACAAAGGTCCCTGTTACATAAGCTTCAAAAGTTATTTTAAAAAAATCGAATTTAGCTGTGCTCTGTGAGAGCCATCTAACCCCCCCCCCCCCCCAACACACACACACACACTTTTCATGCATCATTCGTTGTTTGAATCGGGTGGTTTTATACATTCATTTTCGCTGCTTTAGATGTAACTTACACTGTAGAGACGCTAACTTAAATAATAGATGGTTTGGTTTGAACATATTATATTGTCTATAAACTTTACAACTGGGATTGGGCAAAAGTTCTTAAAACTTAATACGCCCTCTCCCTACATATGAAATAATAGATAAAATAAAGATATAGATTAACCACTTCAGCGAAAGCTTAGCAAAATGAATTTTGTGTTGAGACGGCAACACTTAATCATGAACGAAATAAAGTTAATTCTAAGAAAACCTGCATGAATAAGATAAATCATTGGCGTAGGCCTAGTTCTTGTTTGGCCCTGTGAATTTAAGGGTTCTACTAAAATATCAAAATAGATATTTGAAGTGACAATTGCTACTAGCGTGACATAGAAATATATAATT